CTGGGTGCATACCCCCGGACCCCCCTAGAGGAGGTGAGGACCCCCCTGGAGGAGGTGAGGCCCGTCCACCCCCAAATAAAGCAGGTTAAAATAATTAGATTGCATACATGTTCTTTTAGTAAACACTGCAAACGGGTCCCACAGACCCAAACAGCAAACAAAGGTTAAAGGTCAGCATATCATAATGTTAAAATGTGCTAAATATATACACCGCAAAAAAAGAAAAGAAAAGTAAAAGTAGCCCCCGACTTGTTTTATTTTTTTAAAGTAGCCCTCACCCTAAAAAAGGTTGGTGACCCCTGCCTTATACCAATTAAAACAATGCAAAAGTAATATCAAACACAGCCAGAGTCAAACATCAGAAAACTTCCCCCAAGCTCTCAAGCCTCCAAAAGCCTAAAAAACTCCCCGTTCTCTTCACACATCATCTTTTATAGTCTCTTGCCTCCTCCCTCTCTGCATCAGGTGGTTTCCGCTTTTCTATCTTTGAGGGAGAAGGAGGTCACGTTTAACTTTTACTTAATGAACAATTACAAATGTAAAGTTAAAATAAAACAAATTAATCTTTTTATTTAGCCTTTATTTATACAGGTGTAAAATCTCATTGAGACACAAGGTCTCATTTGCAAGAGAGACCTGTCAGTGGTAACACTACCACACAAAGTTACAGACAGACAGGACACTAAACACAGAGGCAACAATAAAATACAACATCGTAAAAAAAGTAGTCATTGAAATCCATATAAAGTATTCAGATATAGCAGGTGCAAATAAAGACTTATAGTAATAATATGCAATTTTAACAAGAAGGAATATGAACATGTTTCATGAAAGCAGAACACATTGTCAATGTCATGTTTAGAATCAAGTTTTTTCTTTAAACATTTAATTTCAAATATACAAACATTATACTTTAATTTATTAACATTGACTTAATTTATTAACAGAGACAATAAGGACAGCTTGTCTCTACGATTCGCTGGCCCAGGAAGTTGGTTCAAGTCCTTTGCGTAGGCCGCCTGCATCCTGTGCTTCATTGTCTTCATACCCGCTGTAACCGCTCTCAAGGTGTCAAAAACCACAAGCGCAACCACAATACATAAAAGTCAGAAGCAAATTCTTGTCAAAGTTTAAAAAGCAAACTTATATCAAAACAATTGAATATTATCATAAGGTCACTCAAAAATAAAATAATATAATGATTAACAATCATGTATATCAGAAAACATAGATATGCACCACTGAGTATAGAAGTGGGTTTAAACAACACAAAGCTAAATGGCTTAACAGCATTATCATAAGTAGTCAAAAATGTATAGTAACATGATGTTAAAAATAAATCAAGATACTCTGCACTTTTAACGGCACAATGTCAGCAGGTCAGGTCCACAGCATTTCTGGAGCCCTCGTCTGGTCAGCTGCTGTAAAAGATTAGTTTGGTGGCACAGAAGTTCTAGACTTCTTAGCCGGAGGAGGACAGGTAGACCCTTCCCCAAGCTCCCTAGGACTAATGTCAAAATAGTCTTCTAAATGTTCTGTAACATACCAGCGAGGTGGTTCCCTGTTATCCCCGTGGAGTCTCAGTGAGAGACCCCTCCTAGATGCTGGCAACAAATGATCAGATAAATCTTCTCTCTGATATAAGCGTCCATCACCAACCAACCACTCAACAGAACGTCTATAAAGGGACTGAAACATTGCTATAGTAAATATCACACATTTTCTTAAAAATATTGTTACATCTACTTGGTTTTAAATTCATTACTACCAACCAGGAGTTGGATAAACACCAGATACTACAAAAGGAAGTTGGTCAAAATCTCCAAAGTGAGCAAACCTATTCTAATGACTTTTAGCAGTTAAAACCTTCTAACATTATTCTACTTATTGAACTGCTCCCTGATAGGAAGAAACTAATAACACAACTGAACTCTCCTTTCTGCTCAAAATGGATAAATCAATAAACAACTCAGCGTTGGGCGATTGATAAGGCCATTTAGCCAGTTTCTAATAAGTAAAATGGGGATAGCTAAGATCAAAGTCACAAATCCCCCATTCTTTAATGACTTTGGGGTAATCAAAACTAAATTAAAAAATAGTCCAAATGATTCCAATCAGGATCTCTTGTATTGACTGGGATGAAGCATTCTCAGAGGTAACGTTCTGTCTCTCCATTACGTGCTGTCACTGTCTCAGGTCCAGAGAGTAGTGAGAGTATGTAAGGGCGGGGGTGCTGATCTCTATCTCAGAGCTGCATGTCAAACCACATCAACATCCGGTGCTTAGCCTGCAGCAAGGAGGAGAGGCAAAAGAGGAGAAATCTCCCTCTAAGCAGTTTTGAAAATGTTCTTTATAATTGTTTTCTTAAGCAGCTTTTATGGATAAAGCTACTTAATCATATGTTTCATGTTTCAGGTCCTATTAGTTTATAGATGTGGGGGGGGATGTTATACTTGATTAAAAGAAGTGATACCACAGTGTAGAAATACTGTAACAAGAACAAGTCTGGTATTGAAATCTACTTAGGTAAAAGTATTAGGATCAAATAATGCTTAAAGTACCATCATTAATACTCCGTTTGAATGTCAGTGGACTGCAAATAAGTCAATAAAGGAGCATGGCTGCTCATTCCCTGGCTCTCAAAAGAGTTTGGCTGGCTGTTTAATCTATGTTCACACTGAGACAGTACAACACAGAGAGAGAACAGTACACCTAGTGTGTAAGTAGATACAAGCAGGTCACACAGTATGATCACAAATACATAACATCTGTTCAAAATCTGTTTTTATTAGAAAGTACAGGCTGCATATGTTCTCAGCCTTGGAGAAACTTGACAGGTTCATTAATAAAACAGATATTTCAACGTGTGCCTACTTTGTTCATGTACTGTTGAGGTTCATCTCAGTAGTTGTGTGCTATAATGTATTTACAAAGTGTGAAGAGGAGGCAACTTTAGAATAGGGAACCTGTTCAGGTCAATTAGAGTCAAACTACTAGCTTATTGGTTATGAACAAGACTTCACTTTAAAATAGGGAACATGTTCTTAGATAGAAATACCTCATTTTGAGTTGTTTAGACTTAATGAACACTTACAGTTTCATGTCTTGTTACATAAGAATAGATCATATTTGTTAAGTGTTATTATGGGATAATTACTATTCTTGTGGTACTGCTGCCTTATTAGGCCCATATTGAGCAGCGCATATTAAGACCACAACTCATGAACAATAACTTCCTTACTTGCAATAAATAAGCACTAATTAGAGGGTTATTGAGGAAAAGCTCTCAACTAATGGCTTAGTACTTGTAGAATATGGTCATGTAGAATAAGGCATTAATAAGTGTTTTATAATGACTAATAAAGAGCCAATATACTGCTAATAAGCATGTTAATTAACAACTAGTTGATGGTTAATATGTGTACCGTAATATAAAGTGTTACCAGTCATTCAAACCTGTACTTACAGTACTTGAACTCATTTTGTTGAATACATGTGATGTAGTAGTATTATAAAACCATATACTCCAGTAAAGTAATTCAAACCTGTACTTACAGTACTTGAGTATATGTACTTTATTACTTCCCACCACCGGTTTATAGAGAGCTGGAGTTAATGATCTGATTATCACTCGGAAGTATTAATAGTATAAATGATTAATTATTAAAATATGCTAATATCAATGAAGGTACATGACTCTCTTGTTTCTCTTCAGAGCCTGGTGTTAGGCTGGTGAGAGGAGAGAGTCGCTGTGCAGGAGACCTGGAGATGGAACATGAGGGAGAATGGAGACCAGTGAGGGGCTTTCTCTCTTTCTGGACCCTGAAGGCAGCAGGAGTCGCCTGCAGAGAGCTGGACTGTGGCTCTGCTGTTTCTGTGGGAGAGAGAGAGGAGTCCTCAGAGAGACCTGTGTGGAGGATCAATCCTTACTGTGTTGAGTCTGGATCTGCTCTGAGGGAGTGTGCAGGATCATCTTCCTCTAAAGACATCCTGACTCTCACCTGCTCAGGTAAACCCATCAGTGACATCATCGATGACATCATCAGTGACATCATCAGTGACATCATCAGTGACATCATCAGTGACATCATCAGTGACATCATCGATGACATCATCAGTGACATCATCAGTGACATCATCGATGACATTTTCATTTATTGTTTTCATTTTCTTGTTTTTAGAATTAAAAAATACACAAACCCAAATAACAAATGATGAACAGTGTATGAAGCAGCCGGGCGTTGTGGGTGGGCTACTGGGTCTATAGGCCCACCCACTCATTCATCAACAATGACTGAGAGAAAATATAGCTTACCGGATTTTTATTTTTGATTATCTAAATGAATAATTAAATAATAAAATAATAGCAAAAATAAGTTTCCCTTTTAAAAAATGAATACAATTAGAAGCAACATTTATTAACGTATTCAGGCTTCTGTTGTGTGAGATGTTCTATCCAATCACAACAGGCCAATGTAAAATAGCCTGTTGTGATTGGCCTACATAGTTCACATAGTCGAAGCGCGGCGCAAACACAACGTAGGACGTCCCACAGACCCCGCAGATGAAGGAGGAAAATATAGCACTCATTTACAGAGTCACAAGAATCCATGTTCAGAGTTTTCAAAAGAGTGAGAGGGGAGAGGCCAGAACCATCATCCTCACAGCAGGGGCCGTCTCACTCCAGATTCTGCCTCTCTATGCTTTCTGTGTCTCTAAAATGTATCAATGTAATGTGAACCAAAAGAAATGAACAAGCAGTATTACATTTCATTTCACTCATTGCAGCCTGGAGCACGGCTGATATGAAGAGTCATGAAACCCACCGGGTTATTTGGAGCCTCCACCTCTAGAATGATACAATTCACTATTTAATGGAAAACACAAGATCAATATACAAACAACAGCTTGAATTCAATGATGACGCCATGTTTGAAGAACAACGTGTTTACAAACACCAATCAGATAACACATGTGAAACACACATGTAAGAGTAAAGAATGAAACCTTTTGAAAGTGTCTGTGTGAGAGCAGAGGTGGAGCTGAGCAGGAGCAGAGGATCTGCAGAGGAGGAGGTTTTGTTGAAGACACAGAGAAAGGGTTCACTAATGGAGACCACTTGCTAGAGGGTATCAGATGTAGATGTGAGGGTACCTGCAGTCTGTGTTCTTATAAACATGTGTTCTGTTGTTCATCATCAACTCATGTTGGAACTGAGTCCAGTTTGAATCTCTGAAATATTGTTTCATCTCTTTGATGGTGTGTCTTTGACCTCTGTTTGACCTTCTGTCCTCTGCAGACTCTGTCAGGCTGCTGGGGGGGGACTGGTCTGTGCTCAGGCAGACTGGAGGTGAAGTCTGACCAGTCTAACCAGTCTAACCCGTCCTGGTCCTCAGTGTGTGAGTCTGACTTTGACCAGCAGGATGCTCAGGTGGTCTGCCGGCAGCTGGGCTGTGGGGCTCCTTCAGTCCTCCAGGGGGCGCTCTATGGAGAAGGGGAGGCTCCAATGTGGACCAAAGAGTTCCAGTGTGGAGGCAATGAGTCTGCTCTCCTGGACTGTAGCTCAGCCTCAGAGAGAAACACCTGCTCACCTGGCACAGCTGTTAGCCTCACCTGCTCAGGTAGAGAGGAGCTGTGATTGGTTCATTCTGTTCTCATCAAACTCACTTTATTCTCTCTCTGATCACTCTCTTGTTTCTCTTCAGAGCCTGGTGGTGTTAAGCTGGAGGGAGGAGAGAGTCGCTGTGCAGGAGACCTGGAGGTGAAACATCAGGGAGAATGGAGACCAGTGGAGAGCTCTTACCCTTTCTGGACCCTGAAGGCAGCAGGAGTCGCCTGCAGAGAGCTCGACTGTGGCTCTGCTGTTTCTGTGGTACGGAGAGAGGAGTCCTCATGGAGACCTCTGTGGAGGATCAGCTCTAACTGTGTTCAGTCTGGATCTGCTCTGAGGGAGTGTGCAGAAGCATCAAATCAAGAAACAACTTCCTCTAACTACCTCCTGAATCTCACCTGCTCAGGTAAGCCCATCAGGGACATTGTTTATGACATCATGTCCTCTGTCTCTTTGTTAGTCTCTCTCTCTCTCTGACAAAGAGACAATCCCTCTCTGCTACCTGGACTGTCACAGACTGAAAGCTCTTTGTAATGTCTTCAAAGCGGTGTCTTCAGACTGAGAGGAGGTTTTCACAGAGACTGTTTTTATTGTTGCTGCTGGGGCAGGCAAACATGTGGATCTCCAGAAGCAGGAACAACAAAGTAAACAGTACAGCAGCTCAGCAACTCACTAACATGTGTTTCTCTTGGTGAAAGCAAGAGGGAGTTAGATTTTAGATTTCACTCTCTGATGAGAAACATGGAGGAGTTTTAAACTGTTATAAAGGAGTCTTTAAAAGATAATAATCTAATCTCTAATCTCTCTCTGTCTCTCTCTCCCTCCCCCATCTCTCTCTCTTCCTC